AAACTCTCACTGAGTGCATCACAAGCAGTGCTGGTATAATGAGGCAATGTGCTAAAAAAATCTCAAGTTTCATGTTCTTCTAGCTGAAGAAAGGTGAAGTTCTCCAGCACATGAAGAGAAATATTTCCAGTGGATATGTTATGAGCAAAGGAAAATGGCCTATAACTTTATTATGAAATAGGCTGCACCAAGCATTAATTTGCAACTAGCATGAACTTCTTTAAGTGTAAGGGTAGATAGTAAGGTGAATGGGGCTGAGTGTGCCCCCATGAGGATTATGACTGAAGTCTGCACTATCAACGATACAGCAACATCATAAGACTAGCAGGTGACAAAGCTGTGCACCACTACACAAATTCCAACCCCTTCCCCTCTCATCAGTTAAGTATGGGAGTTCAGGAGAGCACAGAAGTGTGTCATAAACTCTCAAGCAGTGCAATCGTCAAGCCTAGCTATGAGTACAGTCTCAAGCAACCAGAGACAAACGGCTGTAATACAACAGGGGAAAGGCAACAATGTAAAATATAAACCTTTGGGCTCCAAACTGAAACACACCCCAGCCTGATCCCACCTGGTAATAACTTCCATTTTTATTCTGAATTGTTTTTCAGAACCTTAGTCAGAATATTTCTCAATTATTTAAACCACAAAATTGCCATTACATGTAATTTCCTAATTATGCTGCTGGTTGGTAAAAGAGTGGCCACAGCTTAGTATGGTAAATATGCATCCATTTGGTTTGGTCAGAATTATCGTAAATGCTCTTGGGCCTACCACCAATTGGGAGTGGCCAGATGCAAGAGCTCAGACAGTGTACAGGTAGTGTGGCTCGATCTACAAGTCTACTTGGTATTTTCATTTCAACTTACTGTTCACTGTATGTTCATGTAACCGGTCTTTGGCTTTTTTAATGCACAAATTACTTTCTGATTTCTGTATAGTGTATTTTATTTTCCTGTTACCAGAGAATAGATTAAATAGCTTTAAGACTACATGAGCTAGTGCACTGTTAATGATCTACCTTCCTTAAGGTTGGCAGAAAACCAATACCTTTGTGTAACGAGTGTAGAAATGTGTAACATAAGTTAACCTTCATTTCGGTGTTTTACTTTTTCAACATGTGTAACAATTAACAAAAACATCCTCAAATCCTGTACGGACTTTCTGGACACCCTGTACTAAAATCATTCGTTGGTACATGAATTGTGAGGCTATGTGCACTGAAATGTCCAACAGCATGTCAAACAGCAGGTTTCTGTACAAGCTGCAGTGAATTTCAAATTGTCATAGCAACAGACAGATGTTACAACAGCTGAAGCAAGGTCCTGCACCACTTCCATCAACTGCTGCTGATGTAGGATGGAATTCCTCTTGTATCCTCTTGCATTACAGCAATAACTGGGGATGGGTTAATTAGGTTAACCAATCTCGCAGCAAAAATTTGAATACAATACCTCCTGAGTAGATGTCTGAAGTGTTACAGTTACATCAACCTGCTCATTATGTGTCATAAGTCATGAAAATACAAGTTTGCATCGCCACAGAACCTCAGATGTTAAACGTATGAAGATACACAGTCCTGGCATTATGGAACACAAAGGAAAGGCCTGTGCATCATTGCCAGGTGCCACAGTTTTGCAGTTCATATTCTTGATTCACATTCAGAAAGTCCAAACTTTCAATCCTGGCTTGCTTCAAACTATTGAGACCGATATTCTGCTGCATTATCAAGTTGGCAATGGTGACTAACTGCATCAAGCAGTGCGACTGAGCAGGCTGGGGCAATGGTAATGATCTAGAATGACATTCCAGAGGTGCTCAGTTCAAATCTCAGCTGGGACACCAACTATCCTACTGAGTTTGTCGTGGCTTTCCTCAATCCCTCCAGCCAAATGTCAGGCTAGTACCTCAACTACAACACAACTGCTTCCTTCCATATCCTTTCCAATTCATCATTCACCCATTATCTTACCATACGACACTATATAGCCTTGATACTGAGCATGCTATAACCCCTCCCCCCCCCTTCCCAAAAGAGAGGCAGATCGTTTCTTGAGGAGTAAAGTCATGCAGTTAGTTCCAAAATTCCAACCTTTCACGGAACCTGGAGGTTCATTTCCGGTTCACAAGAGCCTGCCATGTAACCAACAAAACCAAAACAAAATCAGCAGATAACTATGTACAGGCTGAATACAGGATCCCACAGAGGAATTTGGAACATGTTGATGAACTTTCAGTAGCTGAACAACTAATCAGCAGTTTATTGTACCACAGAGTTGCAGGTACAGTCTTGCTGCAAACCTTCTGAACCACATAAAGTACCTTGGAAGTAGACAGTGTCGGTACTGTCATCAGGCTGTGGCACGAATGGTGGTGTAGCACTCAGCAGATTGTTCCAATCAATTTCGGAAAAAAGGGACATCTGTTTCACTTGAGGAGCTGCAGGCCTCAGAGTTGGGTCCAGTGTGAGAAGAGCATCAATCGCAGAATGGGCAGGCTGTGAAAACTGTTCTTCTTCTTGTGGCCATGGGATGTCTGTAACAGTGGTGCCAGCAATGGCATAAGTGTCTGCAAAAGCATACACTTCCTCACAAAGTTCTACAAAGTATGCCTCAAATATCTTTTAATCTGCCAAAATAAAACGTTAAGTTACCCCGCAAATGAATACTGGATACCGATCCCCATGCTACATTTGTACAGCTGTAGTTATCACTGTGTGTTTTGGTCACTAAATGTCCACCATCACATAAACTCAGACAAAAAGACAGAACTCTAAGGGAACTCACACTATCCAACTCAGAACACAACTGGGCATAATAACGCTCATAAAGCCAAGTTCCTGCACAGTCTGTATGTAGTCTCTGTATAATTTTATGCAGGTACCCATCGGATGTTGGGGCACGCGGTAGTGTAGTTGGTTGAGGGGCTATGCTACAAGCCGGAAGGTCACGGGTTCAAGTCCCAATGAGGTCATTGGATTTTTTTCAATTGCCCTAATCCTTCCAGCCGCACTATGGCCCTGGGGTCAACTCAGCCTCTAATAGAAATGAGTACCAGGAATTAATTACATAATTTTCCTGGGGAGTAAAGCACAGCCAGCACGTAAGGTTGACAACCTTACCACCATCTTTGAGTCAAATGTCTAGATAATGTGGGACCCTCAACATCTCACAACCCTATGGGCCTTCACAGCCTGGTACAGGGATAGCTTTTTACTTTACCCATTGGATGTTGGTCCTTTAGTGATCAGAACATGTAGTGACCACTACATCTGTAGAACTAATGCTTGAGGGATGGTATATGGCATTCATTTGCAAGCACACACAAGCAGGATGAAATTTTAAATAATAAGTTCTGGGAAGAACTGCCTACTTTCCTTTGACATGACATGGACTGCACACAAAATGAGGTGTACAACAATTCTTCTATTGTTGTGTACTTGCTGCTGTAGAAATGTGTTTACTGAGCTGCCACTGTGCCACAACTGGGTACACACACATGCGCAGAAAGTAGGCTAACAAGAGAAGAACTGTTGGAGGCGTTTTCTCTGCAGTCCAAACTAAAGTTACATAAAGAGGACAGCTCATGGTCATGGTTAACGGTCAGTTACAGTGCACAGAAACCAGAGAGCTGGAAGACCTAATTACTGACCTGATTCCTAGCAAGGGCCATCACTGCGGCATTTCTCTGACTGCACTATTCCAGCTTTCTGGCACATCAAGTCACACATAACACACAAATATATAGACACACAGACACACAGCAAGGTGATATCATAAGCCTCTTTGCATATTTTCAAAATAAGGAATGTAGGCTAAAAATAAGTTACATCACACATTTAAATGCAATGATAGCGTAAATTTTAACATATATGATTATTCCCCCTCGTTGGTGTCTCCACCTTATTGTGGTGAGGGGGTTTGANAGAAGTTTGTGGTTGTACACAGCCAGCCAGCACAAAATGGCAAGCAAAAGCAGAGAAACAATTACAGCATGATCATATCCATAGGAATAAAACCCCACTCAGCGTTAACTGACATGCATGCACATGTGCACACAAATACACACACAGTGCAGGCTACAAGTGACAAAGCCAAAAATATGTAAATACAAGAACATGAGAAATCTTGCTAGTTTATCCAAGACACACTCAGACGTAAATGCTTAACCTTTACATGCTGGACTTTTGAAATGGTGGTAGCTTGAGCTGGCCAGAGTCATTTAAATGCCCCTTGCTGCTCTGCATTTAAATGTCCATTCCTGTTAGGGCGCTTACATTGTATTTATAAATTCTGTATCTAATACAATTTTTATGATAAATGAATGGAATTAACTTTATTTTTGTCAGGAAAGAACATAGTGTCACATTATAATACAGGTTTTGGAAACATTTATACAAAAAAGTTATACTCTATTTTCATTTTTCTCTTGTAATTTTGATGCATACTGTAAAAATTGCATCCTACTTTTTCACAGAGTAATTCTTCATCATAAAATCATTTCTGCTTGTAACACTTGAAATATTTTTCTATTCTCTGGTGCTATAAAAGTTAGAAGCAATAAAATCATTTGGTTCTCTGCTGGCAAGTTTCACATCTTTGTTGCACTCTTCAGATATTCAAGTCTTTTGACTGAAGGGCAGAAAAGTGAAAACATGGTAGTTCATGAAAGGTTAGAGGGAAAATCCTTTGTTCCTTATTTCAGTGTCAAGCGCTTTCATTGCATCTGCCAGAGAACACTGCCCCTACTAAAGTCGCAAACAAACATTTTCATCACAGCTGAGATAGCAAGAGCATTCAGTTTTCTGTGAGTTCATAGTAGTTTTAATATTGTAGTTTTGCTTTATCATAAAATGGCAATGAAACGTTGTTTGGAAGATAACGAAATCAAAAAGTAGATGAAGTGCAAGATATGTGATGTGGTACATTTTCGGGTGCTGCAAGAAGTACCATACAAAGGCAAGGGCTGAAGCCTGTATATACATCAAGCAGATAACTACAAAAATGGTACATACACTCAATTTTACTCTATTTAAAAATAAATATTTAGGATTGTGCATACACTTCTACTAGCAGAATGTGCATGCACTACCACTAGTGGCATTTAAATGCCCGAATGCACAAATCAGGATACTTTGACTATGACGACCATACCCATCACTGTATCAATCAGTGCACTTCAGACGTTAAAGGTCAAAATGAGAAAATAAAATAGAATCATAAGATAATCTTGCCAAGAAAATATACTAGAAAAATAAACACTAACCCAGTGCACAAAGAAAAAGAGACAGGGCAAAGGCTGCTTTCATTTGATGTCAGAAACAAGATCCAAACAATTTACAGAAAACATGAACTACAGTCAAAACTGAATTTGGGGGCACATGTTGCCTCTTTGGATTTCATGGATGAAAGAGGATGGGTCTTGCAGAACAGGGTAGCACCACATGGGGTCAGGAGAGGGGGAAGGAAAAGGACTGACTTGGAAAAATCAGAAACTAGTAATGCAGGCAAGAGGAAGGAGGTAAGGAAATCTTCACCAGTCAGAGATAACGGACTGGAAAGGCAGAAGAGCTGAAGAAAATGGCAAAAATTATGCAGTGAAGAGGTGAAAAAAATAACATGCAAAATTATTACCTCTGTTGAGAATATTATTGAAGACATCTTGGGGTGTCCCATCATTGAAGGGTGGAATGCCCGCCATAAACTCAAACAAGCACACACCCAGGGCCCACCAGTCCACTGCCGCCCCTGCATTACACAAAAAGAAATTTGTTAATGTGTCCCTGTGTTGGCAAACAGGGAAAGATACTGTGAAATGTCTTCTGGGATGTGCTGCTGCGTTATCCAGCAGATGTCTCCTGAAGTTTTGCGGGAAAGTCACATCCCAGAACAAACTTTGCTGAGGCATATCTCATTCCTAAATCTTTGATTAAAATATCCTGACTCAAGACATATGAAATTACACTCTCAGAAGATATTTCACATGCAATCAATCTCCTCTTATTTCGAAATAAATAATGTAATCAGATATTGATTCACTTCTGGAGACTCAGGCCCTTCCAGGATGCTCATCACTTTCAATGCATTTGTCCTCTCTCAAAACAAGAGAACTATTTGGGCATTCAGAGTCATCTGGCATCAGCTGATGTCTGTAGCCACTGTTCTGATCTTCTCACAAAACTAAATGTGCACATGTCCTGTAGTCCTGGGTAATGTTAAATCAAACTTGAAAAATTACTGATTTAAGAACTTACCATAACATGGGCTGTAAACACAAAATAAGATGTCAGCACCAGTTCATGGGGCAATGCACATTGGCTGTGTGGTGGACAAACTGGCAGGTATTTCTCTGAGCCCTTTAGTTTTTCCCTTTCAGTTACCAGTTATGATAAGGGGCCCATTTGAAGGCCATTCTATCAAGAGCCTGTCTCATCCCACTCCTATAACAGGCCTATTTGAGGTCACAGTACAAAGCTACAGTCTCACTGGACTCCTATTAATTCACTGATTGGTGCAGACAGTTTCAAAAAAATATCATTATACACATAATGCAAACATAGAAGAATTTCATATGCATGTCAATTAACAAATAGAACACTCAATTCAGGACAAGTCTCAAACCTGCAGTGCTTACCATGTTCTTGACGTAACAGCAACTCGGGGGCCAAATAATCTGGTGTACCTAAGATGCGGTGTTCACTGGAAGGCTCGCCTCGTCGGACAGACTTTGGTGTGCGGTATGGCGTACGATTAGAAGTGAGAGGAGTTGTCACAACAGGGTTACTCTGTCGGATAAAAGCATTACATCTTAAAGAAGAAACTCTTGATTACAAAGCCTGATATAACTCCATGAAGAACATCAGTGCACAAGTAGCTCAAAGTTCAAACTGTGTGAGATTTGAAGTTGTGCCTCAATACACAACAAAAGGAGAAACAATTACAACACAGATCCTTAACCAATCATATAAAAAAAAAGGGGGAAACAACACTGCCTGGACCTCACAGGACAACAAAGAACACTCCAATCTCCTGTTTTCACAGAAGAGGCACGGAGACACAAACCTCAGCAGTTCAAGATTCTAAGTATTAAGAATACTAATAATATATTTTTAACTTAATTAAAAATCTTTATACAAAACTGTAAGCTTATGTACTATGTTCTATGTAATAGTAGTTCCTTAAGATTTTGTTATTGCCTTCTGAAGATGGTAACAACTGACCAAAACAGGTAAAGGCACAGTCACAAGCTGGTAACAACGTGAGCATAGAAGCAAAGGATGGTGTTGGATCCGTCACCAGGCAGCAACTGGTGAAGACACAACAGACTGAGAAGACTTTGTATCTGCTGTAGTGAACTGCAGTGTGTGTGAATTAGTGTTAGCACTATACATAGTTACTTGTAGTTACAGTCTGTAAGTGTTCAATAAATTCAATTATCACTCCAAACCCCATCTATATTCACTCATACATGTGACAATATCATACTCACAGTGTGCATAGAGATGTCACTTTCATGTTTCTGTGACAAATGAAATCGTGTCATCTTGACACCAGACACTGGAGTAGACAATGTAGCGCTCCACTCATTTTTCAATACTCCCTTTACCTGAAACATGATGCAAACAAAAAACTGTGCATTGTAGTTACATAAAAAATGACAAAACAATAAGCATTCATTACAAAGAATAACTGGGTTTTTGGACTTTTTTCATTGTCCAGTATTCTAAAAACTAGAGAACACAGTATTTCGGAAACTGGATCTGTTTCCGTCCTCAGGTGAGGGGGGAGACACCTACTCTACTGGGTCCCTTAGAAAGACCTAGCCTCAATCACTGGCCTCCCTCACCCGAGGATGGAAACAGATCCAGTTTCCAAAACGTTGTGTTCTCTAGTTTTTAGAATACAGGACGATGGACAATGCCCGAAATCCCAGCAATTCAGTGTCATACACCACTGTCAGAACCCTTTCAAATCTATTCATTAAAAAGTATGTCAGTCTTGAATAGTGACACTGTGCTGCATGACACCAAATAACAATCTAGTTTTGCAACTCATCAATAACATCAAATGGACGGGACACAACAAAACTTATTGTACTGATAGTTCTATAAAGTTCTTCGCACAATGAAATTCATCCACAACATCTATACATTCAGTGACAGATGAATGTTGAATCAGAAAGAATTTTGAATGAAGCAATTGTCGCCTGGGGAATTAACCCAGCATCTGTTTGAAAGAACTGAGGAAAACAATGAAAAACCTCAGTTAGGACAGCCAAAAACAACCTACTTGGTGCACCACATTTAGCTGTCATACTCATGATATCACATACCGCTTCAAATAAAAGCTGTCAGTGTTAATGAGATTAATATTTTATGACAGGTACAACTTCTTGCGCAATCAGTGAATTTTGAGAAATTCAGAGTTTGATTGGAGCTTCATGATAAAAAAGAGATTATGTTGACCAATATGGACCAAGAATAACTTCATACAGACCCCACCCCACAATACAAAAATTTGGCAGTTTCAGAGACGAAACATGCAGACAAACAAGCAGACATGTCCTCCCCTTCATGCTTTCATGTGAAGCATAAAAATAACAGCAGCAAGAACTGTGGCACTACCCATTCCAAAAACATTGACAGAACAGTTGGCAATGCAAGAATGACATCAAAGCTGGGCATTTCCTTGTCAGAGCCATGCTACAGCTCAGATGGTTGCAGATGGTTTCTGATCACAGAGACCTTGGTTCAATTTTAGATGACTTGATATGAGAACCATGCTGGACAAAGCGGCAATGAAGCAGCTTCTTTTCTGAGTGTTCCCCTGACCCCTGTTAATCACCATTCCACCACTGTTCCATACTATCTACCACCACCCCTGAGGGGTGTGACTGCCCTGACAAGGCAGCACATTATCATATCCTTTTTTAAGCCTAGGGTTTCTTCTCTGAGCTGGCACTTGGGTTGCCATATAATCATAACAAGAGTGCTGGTTTGGACTATGGACTGGATGGCCAAAGAATCCAGAATTTGATGCCTGGCAGTAGCAAGATATTTCAAGATATGTATCTCTTGTATGAAGTGTCTAGACTGATTCTGCGGCCCACCCAGTCTCCTATCCAATGGGTGCCAGCAGCTGGGGTGTGAAGTTGACTATTTGACTCTGTTTAGTGTCAAGGTTAAGAAACTTACAGATATATCTAAGGCTGCGCCATGGCTCAAGCGGTTAGTCGCTGGCTTCCCACTGCAGCGGCCTGGGTTCGATCCCGTGTCTGGTCAAGTGGGATTTGTGATTGACAAAGTGGCGCTGGGGCAGGTTTTCTCTGAGTACTTCGGTTTCCCCTGCCAGTCTTCATTCTACCAATTGCTCCGCAATCACCCTCACCTATGATCTGGGGCCGGTACAATAGGCCAGAAGTGGCTGCAGTACAAGGGACTTAGTCCCACCCCACTAGCAATAAAAAAAATACCGATATAACTTCAGAAAGTAGTGCTTAATTAAGCACAGAGACAACTTTATCTTTAAGAACAATGTCTTCAGATACTAAGGACATGACCCAAGTAAATGTGGTACCCTTTTAACTTCACTGTGAACAGTGTACACACCTCTCTCTTGCTGATGATATCCATTTTCATGAAGTCCTTCGTGAGAGCAGTGTGTTTCGCGTCTTGTCTCTTTGGAGTAATGACTGAAAATCTCTTGGGCGTGCTGTTGATGATGTCAGCCAGAACACCACGTTCAGGAGACAGCTTCCGCTTGGTGCCACGCAGCTCCCTGGGGCATTTGAAGTTGATGGTGGAAGATGTGCTCCTTGACAGATGGACTGGCATGGTGACTGGACGGGAACGTCTGTTACTGCCTGGGGTCTTTGCAGATCTGAGCAGAAAGCATCACACGCTAGAGTTGCAGAAGCCTGTTGTGGAATTTTTAGAATATGGGATTTGAGGTTCTCATGGCATTAAGTATGAAGAACACTATCTTCTAGGAAGCAGCACTGTGCACTTTACTTAACAGTTCATCAACATATCAGATAAACATACTGCCTCCATCTTTTGTTTCGAAGAGTATGCCAAGGAAGCAGCCACTGAGTTCTGCTTGCTGGTTGTTTACTTGATTTACTCTTTGACATGAAGATGGAGGCAGTATGTTCCTGAACCTTGACTCACCCAACCAATCCTTCATTACTTCACCCACACCAGGTACAAACATCACCCACACTGGTCTTTCAGGCTCAAAGTGCTGGACCTCTGTCACTCATTTCCTCAAACTTTTTCTTGTCCAGTTTATAGTGAAAGACCTGATTAACAAATCTCTGGAGTAGTGGCCTTTCTTATACAAAATTGAGGTCCATGGGGTTATGCAAAACTATATCAAGAAAATGTTTACTCCTTGTAAGACTTACTGCAAACACCTAAGTAAAAATATATTCTCATATACATGTTATATTAGAGAATACAACGCACAAGAGAAGGACACATCACAAGACGCAGTATACACAAAATATAGGAAGAAAGACTCCCATAGTGGAAGACTGATATAATACGCAAGTTTGAAATAGGACGTATAAGATGATAAATCTTAACAAAATTTTAATATATAAATTTTATTACAGTACATGACAAATATACATTTTAAATCATTTTATAAACGACACATGATGGCGAGCAGTGCAATAGTTTAACGTAAATAACACACCTGAGGTTGGCACAGTGATTCCGAAACATGTACTGAAGTGACAAGAGAGATTGTGTGCACTAGAAGACAGTCAATACATACACATCATGGACGTGAATCAGTGCAACAGGATGCTAAAATACAACATTATATTTGAGAAAGTACAGTGACAGAGTGACACAGTAATTGAGGCCCTATTATAACCCATAAACCACCTAAATTTCTTATTTTAGTTGCTGAACTCTGCCAAATTCTATGCTCGTTCTGCTGAGAACAACCAGGTCTAAACCATGGACAGTACATTATTACCAGTGTTCTGAAGAAGCCTGCTACTGACATCTACACTGACTCAATTCCATTCTTCTGCCCTGAAAAGTAACACCGTAACAGACTACAAGGCATTACCTCAAATCTTCCATAGAACATATACTTTCTTACCCTGGAGTACTAGGCCTAGTCATAGGAGTCGCATCTACTACAGGACAGCTGGAACATGTGTGGTATGAATCAAATGCGTCACTACTGTCGGCAGATGAGAATGGAGTAACACCCGAGATGCGACGACTGTTATCATGCTGAGACACACCTGTGACAGAAAGGCATGAACCATCTGTAGGTCATTTAATTTACTGTGTACTGATAACCTTTGAGGTCCAAACCAAGTATGTTTTGAAAACAAAATAGCAGCATTATTGCAATGAACCCCAGTTGTTCACAATCTACTTTCTTGCAGGTTAGTTTACAATGCTGTCAGCAGCTAGATTGCTGATATGAAGACTGATGAACTGGAAAAGATTTCAAAGAAAGTGGTCATGGCCTAATCAAGATACTGGAGGGACTGAGGAAGCCCACAAAATCCTCAGTCAAAAGAGCTTGTGTCCAAATGATGATAGCAACCAAGCACATCCCAGATAAGAGTCAAGAATATTACTGTTATGACTACCATTTGTAATGAAGTCTTGCTGCTTATGTAACTGACCATATTTGGGTGTATAAATGTGCTATCTTTGATTACCTTAATGCAAATCAAATTAATTCAATTGTTTCAGAATAACTTTTGTGCATCCATCACCAAATTGGTCCAAGTGAGCTAGTCAGATTCTTTAACTTTGGTGAGTTCTGCATTTAGATGTAAGAGAGAGGGCTTCACCAGTAAATTGGAAACAGGAGACCAGAATACAGGGTCAGTCTTCCTTTTGGAATTCTAAGTTCTAACTTTTAGAGGAGTGTTTCCAGGAAAAAAAGCACCACATAGATTTAGGGCAATGACACACGGAGTGGTTTTCGCCAACTCAGCCGCAGCCTTGTGACAAGGCATACAATGCACGCCGACTCAGCAGCCGTGTCAGAAACTTCTGAGAATGTATTCAATCTATGGAGCAATTCTTCAAACCGCTCACTGCACCGCCTGCAGATGACAGGCAGAGTCGGCAAATCTGCCACCTGTTGGCAAGCACCACCTTGTCTGTTTTACCCCATCTGATGCAACAGAACTATGCATTGAGTCAGCAAAAACCACCCTGTGTGTCATCGCCCTAAAGTACTGGAACTGGCAGTCAGCAGTCGAATTCTCCTACTCTGAATATCACTTGCTTTTGTTTCTAACTGGGGAATGCAAAATGTTTGTGTACTCCTAACTGTTAAACCAGCCAATCAAATTCTGGAGGGTGACATCCTCAGCTAAAATTTGTGAAACAGGAAAGATGCCTTTCTTCAGAGAAGCTAGGTTTAAATATTCCATATATTTCAGTGAATGAGTTTGGACATGCCTGAGTGTTATCTGGCTCCAAATCCTAAATCTTCACTTTAGTAAGCATTTTGGCTTTCAAGACAATAAACTCAGTAACTAAACACAAACAGTCTTTTGGAAATGTTCAAAGTGGTTGAACTTCCATCTTCCTAATATCATAGAGAAAGAGTGAACTACTGTGTCTGTATAACAATATAAGTCAACTGATAAGTATCCAGTTGAAGTGATACTTTGCCTCCTGACTGAGTGGACTGGTGCCAGCTGAGTGTGCACCTGCTAGCCATTCTGAGTTATAGCCTGCTAACATGACTGGGACAGAATTAAGTTCCCACCATGGCTGAGCTCAAGCTGTTAGTCGCTGGCTTCCCACCGCAGCGGCCCGGGGTCTGGTAAAGTGGGATTTGTGGTGGACAAAGTGGCGCTGGGGCAGGTTTACTCCGAGTACTTTGGTTTCCCCTGCCAATCTTCCTTCCATCAACTGCTCCACAATCACCCTCACCTATCATCTGGGGCTAGTACAATAGGCCAGAAGTGGCCGCAGTGCAAGGTACTTAGTCCCACCCCACTAGCAATAAAAAAAAAGTTCCCAACTTACTTAAGATAACCCATCAAACCTGCTTGTGAAGGCAGAGTCCAACTTAAATCTTTATGAATATTCCATACCCTGGAATCCTACTGACGCCCAGTCTTCCTCATCATTAATTCCCAGGCCCTACTTTAGCAGTTAGAATAGTCAGTCCACACCATTCTTCTAGTAAAACCCATCATCACCCCTACACCACCCCCAATGGAGTCCTAAAGGGTGCCTATGGCTAACTTAAGTGGCAACTTAAAGCTGGCTCCAAGAATGATTACACTTACTATGTTCATGGTACAGTCAGGAACAACTGTGCAGCATGTAACTGTCTGTCCTTAGAGAGAACTTTATTCTGAGTGGACGGACTTTAGTTAAACATAACCAAACGCTCTGCACTAGCAAATGACCGATATTTTCACCACACAAACCTGTACACGTTTACGATCTCTCACACTACGAAATTTCATAAAAATAAATCTTGTAAGATTTGAGGTTTTCACGACAGTGACCATCAAGAATGCCATCTTCTAGGATGTGGTGCCGTGTAGTTATTTGGTAACCGCTGTTTCAGAGGAACGTATTGCTTCCATCTTCAGGGTATAAGAAATCCGCGAATGATGAACCAGCATGAGCAGGTGTCTGTTCATCACTCACAGATTTCTTATACCCTGAAGATAGAGGTGATACATTCCTCCGAAACGTTGGTTAACACAATATCTACATGGCGCCAAATCCCAGAAGATGGAATTCTTCAAAATAAAACTTGTTTGCCAAACCGTATGACAATTTAGCACAGAATCTATTTCTTCAAATCTTCATATGTTCACATTTATTTCATTTTCTCTTCTACCAATTGTTCAGCTTTCCATTAGTAAGAGTATCAATATTTATTCTTATTATACAGATAAAAAATTATGACAAGTGCGTGAGATGAGGCAGTTACATTACAGATTTGCATTTTATTCAATGACAACATTTTCTGGCTATTACATTCACAAGTGATACTGATAATCCAGGGATCTCCCCCCTCAAGGTAATAAAAGTTCTCATGTGTTTGTTAATTGTCCTATAATATGATGAGTTTTCTTTGACTAAAATTGTTTTTCTTTTCTTTTGTGTTGCCGTCGTGCCTTATGAAAAATACAAATTCAAGTAAAGCTACGGCAGCACATCCAGGAAACTAAACCTACAGATTAAATAACAATAATGGCAAACTCCAAAACAACAAGAAAAGAAAAAAAACAAAACAAAAGCTAAAGTGATCCTTGAAAGATGGCAATTAACGCATCAGAGGAACTAACAGCTCACAGGAAAAGCCAACCATTAACTCCTTGACTGGCGCGAAGGGTATTTAAATCCCACCCCTGTCCTGGCAGGCCTTTTAAACATTATGTCGCTAAGATGCATGTGCTTACTTTTTTCTAAATAACTTCAACAAAAATTGGTTTTTAAAAATGAAATTTTCAGGAACTATTAAAAATACAATATTTTATGCAATAAATGTCTTTCCATACCTTTTTAGTAGTTTTTCTTCGTGTGATAAACATTGAAACATGAAAGTTTGCAGAGAGCCACACCACAGCTTGCACACATGACACTTGTTTCTTTTCTAATCTTATGCTTAGCACACACTCGACACTTTCTCATGGCACCATTCTTCTTATTGTTACTGGGAGGAACATGGACCATTTTGTGAACTTTCAAGCCACCCTCTAGACGATTTTCTGGGTCTTTCACTGGTGGTCTTCTCAAGGTCGCGGGCG